GACTTGAAATTTTTATGGGGAGCTCCTCTGACTATAAATTACAATCGAGAATATTTTTTATGTCATTTATATTTATAATTACTCCAAATTATTTTTATTTCATTTTTAGGGTTAGTGACAATTAGGATTACCTTTAGTGAGTCAAACCAAGTTTATATTTTTCCTAGGGTCCTCTGATCACAGTGAACCTACTGATACACTGAAAATATATGCATTTTTAGACTCATATTTTGTACATATTTTTGGTGATATTGCACTTTAATGAAAGATATTTTGATGTTTTCTTGCAGGTTGTTGATTTTTAGGAATTAAAGCAAAAAAGAAAGCAAAAATGATGAAATTTGGAGTCAAAATGACATTTTTGAGGAAATACTCAGCGCCGACAACACCAAGGTCAGCGCCGACGGCGCAGAACAATCGAAAGATGGAGGATTTTTACTCAGCGCTGACGACGCCAAGGCGGTTCAGACCCTGTTTCTAAAATGTTCGATGTAATTGGGTGATTTTTGAAGAGTTTTTGGAGGCACCTCTTGGATAACCGACCTTGGGCTTTATTTGGGGCCGAATTTCATCTGAAAAGGGGCTCCTCTACATTCATTTTTCGCTCTACAACATTCCACCATGCTATATTTCCATAATCCATTTTCATTCCACCACATATTGGTGTCAATTAATAATTTTGCTTTTATAGTTTAGAGTTTTTATGATGAAATTTAGTGTGAAACTTTTTGTAAGAGTGTTGTAGAAGAAAAAAAGAAAGAGAGTTTTTCTTCTTGTATTTCTAAGGAAAGGCTACAAAGGATTTGATTTGAAAAAGAGTTCTAGATAAGTTTGTTTGTTTATTTAGTGTTGTATGAACTTTCTTTTATATATGAAATTTGTGTTTTGTCGTATCTTTGTCGTATCTTTCTTATGAACTTTCTTATGAAGTCTGAGTAGTTTCCCCTATCTTTCCCCCTACTCTAAGATCTGGAGAAATGAAAAGATAATATGGATGTGTCATAAGTAAAATATAAAATAAGTTGTGATGATTTTTCAACTCCGAACTTAATTTACTTTTCAATCTAGCCAATTGATTTGTTAAAATATATTGTGAAACATATGATCTGGAAAATGGAGTATGGGTTCTACAACAGAGTGAGGATCACATTTGATTTCATGAAGGAGAATTTTGTTCATGAAATTAAACGCAAATAAATAGAGAAATATTCTTTGTTGGGTGTAGAATTGGAGAATCTTTAGGGTGACAGACTAAAATCTCCAATTTGGTCTTAGTGCTTAAAAACTAAAGCGAGAGTTAGTATTCAGGTGAAGGGAAGTGGGAGCTCTGGAGCAGGAGCCGGTATCCTCCTAGCCTAGCCACGAATTTAGGGACTAAACCTAAGATTAACCAATGATTTTCTATGCACTGTATGAGAGTAGAGAATTAAAATTGCTCTTATTTGGCACAATACATATTATAAATATTTATCTCATCCCATTTCACAAGAATTTCATTGTAGTGAGAATGATTTTTTTTCACAAAAGAAACCTTCATAACATAAACATAGTTAGTAGATTAGTAGTTATTATTAAAAATTTGTATTTCAGTTTTGCTAATAGTTAAGTAATTTAGTTTGTTTAACATATCAGCATTTGAAATTAGTGACAGTGATTTTGTTTGGTTTTCTGTAAATTTCCTGGTAAAATTTATTATTGCTAATTTACACCTTCCCTGTGGGATCGATATTTGGGGCTTAAATAGAAAGTCCATTGATAACAATACATATACTTGCGTAAAACCACATTATTAATTACCTATATTTATATATATTTTACATAACTTACTTTTCATACAAGAATCAAGTTTTTGGCACTGTAGTGGTGTCAACTTCATAAATTCTTACATATAAGAAATCGGGATCACCTAACAAAATAAGTTTTGTATTTTTCTGATAAGTATTTTAATTATTATAATTTTTATACCAAAACAGGGACCATTAACTTAAAAATTAGATATCTCTAGTTAGATATGCCCCTTAATCTTGAAAAAATTAGGGTCGATGCCTAATAGCAATTACATCAAAATCCCCATGGTCCCATGTCATGGTGAAATGTCTAGGCGAGTAGACAATCAAAAGACTAAATACTATATTTAATTAATTAAAAATTACACATGCATGAAATAAACATGAAATTGTTTCTACATTGTTCTCATCTGTTCACTGAGCAAGATGGTATTTTTATTTTATTTTTATGATTTTTCTACACAAAGATATGAATTTTCTAAGTTCTGGTCATTTAAATAAATCAAATAAAACCTATTTTTTTACTTATCCACGCGGCGCCACATCATCCTCGGCTTCTCCAAAGAGTGCAAGTGTCCAATTGGAATGAGGCAGCTTAGATGGGTTTAATTTGAGTTTTGGCCTAGGTAGAGCATTTGGACTTGGATTTTCAGGCATCCAAGGTGGCGGCCGACTAGGGAGGGGTCACCATCTGACTCAGGGAGGTCAGAGCTTGTTTTTGGTGAAGCCAATTAGGGTTTACCATGTGTAAAGGCATTGAATTGAAATGGAATAGGGGAAGAGCTATTTTGGGTCAAATTGGGTCTAGTCATGGTTTGGGGTTGGGTTTACTAACCAAGGAGGGTTTGGATGTTGAGGGAAATCAGATGATTCAGCATAATCATTGGGGATAAGTCCCCATCTAAAGATATTTGGCTAAACATGAGTTAGAGTGTATCATTAAAGAGGTTAAGAACTTTTTTAAAGAGGCTTGAAAGTGGCTCCTACTTTCGCCATTAATAGTTTGATGAGGTGGCAAGGCTCATATGACTCACTTATGGCTTGAGAGTGGCTTCATGGCTTGCATGTGGCTTGGCTCTTTTGTATGAGAAAGGATTTTGAATTTTATGGGATATTTTGATAGTGTTTGTCATGAGGCCTAATATGGGATGATTTGATCATGAATTTAAAACTTAGGGAATGATTTTGATTAAATGGATGATGAAGAGAAAAGAAATTATTGTGTAGGCTTTGGATTTGGACTTTTGGAATTAGATGTGGTGGGCTTAGGCTTTTAAAATTATGGGTGAATTTGGGCTAAAATTTGGGTCAACTAAATGTTGAGTTTGGTGTAGGGAGATGTCATGGAGAGTTTGAAAAAGATTTCAAGTGATTTTGAATTGAATTGGAAGGCTAATTTGGAGGATTTAGTCATATGATCAAAATTGGGACTTTTTGATTTAGGTGAAATTACGCTTGAATTTTGTTTAGATTGGGATTGGGGAACTGAATTTTGATTTGAAATTGAAATTGGGCAAGATTGAAGCTAATTTGGGGGAAATTGGGTCTTTAAGGGCAATTTAAGGCTTTTGGTCAAATTGGGTTAATATGATGATTAAAAATTGAAATTGAGAATATTTGGGATGATTTTGGAATTTTTGAAAATTTTGAAATTTTTGGGTTATGAGGGGATTTTGGTAATTTTTTACGATTTTGAGGGTATTTTGGAAATTTGGTGATTTTTGTGAATTTTGATCAATTTAGGTAGTGGTTAGTGATTTGAAATGACTTTTGGTAAAATTTGGGTATTTTAGATAATTTTGGGATTTTTGACAAAAATTAGAGTTGTAGGGGTATTTTGGTCATTTAATGATTTTGGGCTAGAATGGGCAAGTATGCCATGAAACCATGTCAAACCAATAGGAGCCATATGAGGACTGATTTTGGATGTTCAAAATGCTGGTCCTAACCCTCTTTCCTAACCCTCTTAGCCAATTGCTAGGGGTTTGGGTCCATCCACATGAGCTTCATAAAAGGAGTCAGGAGACCAAATTAAAGGGGTCTTAGGGTTTGGGGTGTGTGAGAAAGTGTGGTTTGTGCAAGTTAGCCTAATCCAAGACTAGACCACCAAGGGTTAGTCCTAAGGTTTGACCATGGGACTCCTATTGAGCTCATTCATATGGACCCCACCTACTAAGTGCTAGAGGTTAGAACCAATATGTAGAACTTCAAGTTGAGCAGAGAAGAGTGTAGAATTTATAATGATGAGGGTTCCTTTTCTAGTCCTCTAAGAATAGTCAACAGGAAAATTATACGGCTAAACCCTAGGCTACTAAAGAGGAAAAAGTTAGTCCTCAATCAAAAATGAGGTCAACAAAGAGTGAAGACAAGAGGACTACAAATTCACCCTAACACCACTTGCCTGCAAAGTAGTCGAAGGGATGGAGAAGAAGGGAGGGTAATATCAGAGAAAAAATCCATCAATTGTCGAACTCATGAGGGGTAATATGTTAATTGCAAATCAAGACAACAATTAGAACCACATAACCGAGGGAAGAACTACCGTTAGCCGAATCCCCGTATCCAAAACAATATTATCATAAAAGCAGGTGAAACTGTTAGCAGCTTTTCAAAACGAAAATGCTTATAAAGTGTTTCAAAAATGCACCCTTAATCAAGCTTTGATAGATACGACATACACGAAAAATTTGCATGTGGGAGGGACGTTGGAATGAGACAAGTGACTGGGGCTGGGAATTGTTTGAATTTCAAATGAAATGAGTAGACTAATACAACAACATAAGATTTATCAGTTCACGCATTATTATATGTATAAATTTTCTATATGTTATGCACAAAATTTTAAAATTTAATTTAAGATTGAAAAAATTAGTAATTTTGGGTTTTCAAAACTATAATAAAAATATTAATTAAATTATGTGAAAAATAAAAAAAAAAGAATTTTTATGTTGTTTGTGATAAAGAAATTGAGTAAGATTATTTTTTAGTAAGATCTTGCTGGCAAGCATCAAGCTTGAATAAATAGAAAACTAGAGGAAAATTTATATACACACAACACAATTCTTATGGATTTACATATCTAATGCTTCAAGTTTGATCATTACATTTATAGAACTTTACTGTTTTATATTTATACATAAAATCTGCATTTGACTTTTTAAAATGGTAATACAATGGCATATTTGGTGTGATGTAAGAGAACTGTGCTATGCATGTAAATACTAAAATTTGTATTAGATGTGCAAATACATAATTTTTGTTTGGTATGCATGAAAATGCCCCTTTTCCATTCTTCTATGATCAATATCAATCAAGCTGCAGAAAAGAAAAGAAAAAAATAATAATAAAAGCGAGAGTATTTATGCTAATCATGCTTCTGCAGCTGAATTATGACTTGATTTGGGATTTTCATTGCTCCACAGAAGCCTAAGTTCCCCTCTTGTCCGGCCAAGAATGACTGTAAGGCCTGATTTTAAGAATTACATAGAAGATATATTTGATTAGAAATATCATCAATTTTCAAAACGCTGCAACTGCAGAATAGAGGTAGTAATTTCAGTACCTAGGGTGCAAGGAACAAGGTAGAGCAGTGCAGGTTGGCCATGTCCATTCATCAAGTACAGTGCAAGATATGTGAGAAACAACCCTAAATAACAAAGAAAAAAAAAAAAAAGAGCAGCATTTGTTTTTTAATATTTTGATTTTTTAGAATAGAATAAATTGGTATATAAAAAGAAGGGGCATTTACATACATACCAAGCTATTTCTATGTATTTATATATCTAACACCTCAACAGTACTTTTTACCTTTACACCACCTAACTCTTTTGTATCACATCAAAAATATCACTATTCTAACTTTCATGCATAGGCAAAGGTAGAATATATGCAAAAATTGAAGTTTAGGTGTTACATATAAATAGAAAGGCGTTGAAAAGATTGGATGAATAAATACATCAAAGGAAGGGTGCATAAGATAGAGAGAAAGAAAGCATTAGAAAACAATAGAAAGGAGAATCAATCTCCAACGAGGATGCTAAATGAAAGCCCCCTTTCTTTTACTCCAACTTCAGATGATTGACTTAGAAAGCTCTACATTGTATTTATAGAAATAACCCTTATTGAAAATAACAAAGCTAACTCAAAATTTATGACATTTAAAAAGTTAATAATTAACTCAAAATAAATATGGAAAAGCACATGATGTGTAAACTAAGTATAGGAATATAGACACGTGACTTAAGGATGTAGGTTTACAGTGCATTAAATTTACTAATTAGTGAAAAGATAAGTACAATGGCTATAATGCTCTCCTCATTTATTCATTAGTTTTCATTTGTTGAAATATGGTTAGTGCATAGTTCGATTCTAATGAGCCAAACCTGAAAATGTTATTCATGAAAAAATCATAAACATGTGCTGAATAAAAACAAACCAAATTTTAAGCAGGTTGAACACAGCTCAAGAAATCAGCTCCGCAAACTCGACTAGTTTATATCGGGTATGCAGTCTGTACCAATTTTTTGTATGCAGAACAAAGTTCAACATTGCACCAAAATATATCAAACATAGGAAAAGCATTCAAAAAAGTTTTTGCGTTGATTTTGAAAATTTAGTAGAATACTTTATTGATATGAAAAAGGAGTATAAATACAGCTTATATGAATCCTAAAATAAGAAAGACATAACCCATATATCTCCAAGATTACAATTAATCAATATATAATAATTACCCAGAGATAAAAAGAAAAACCTAAAATAGGAAAAACATAATACATATATCTCCAAGATTACAATTAATCAATTCCTAATACGTACCTTGAGAAAAAAGGAAAGTCATAAAATTAAAAAAAAAAAGGAAATGAAATAAATCTATTCCTAATAACTTCTAACACTCTCTCAACTCAAGTTGAAACATAGATGTCAATCATGTCCATCAAATAATGCGCGAGGAAGAAACTTTGTGAGATAGAACTTGTAGTCTTCATCCTCAAGAACATTTAGGGATACTTGTAGTTGATTGCAGTTGTCTTTGACCACAGTTTCTGTAGAAAAATGGAAGGCTGTTACAAGTAATGCTGCAAGGAAGTTCGCAGGGAAATAGACAACCTATATGGAAAGTTGCAGGGTATGGCATGAAAGGAAAAAAAGCATCAAGGGTGGGTCTGCTGCAGAAAAAGCTTCAAAGAAGGGCTCAGAAAAAAGTTTTAGAGGAGGGTTTGCTGTAGGAAAAAAACTCCAAAGGAGGGCCTGCTACATGAAAAAAAACTTCGTAGGAGCTTACAATAGAGAAATTCTATAGATAGGTGGAAGTTTGTTGTAGGTAAAGTGCTACAAAAACGGTCTGCAGGGAGAAATCCGGCCGAGAAAGTTCCAGCTGCCTATAGGGAATAATTTCCGGAGTTAATGCCTGCAGGGAAAGGCTCTGGAGAAGGCCTGCTGCAAGACTAAAAAACCCCGATGGTGATCCTGTAGCAGGAAAAGATCCAAAAAGGGCCTACAACTACCCGCAACAAGAAAAAAGTTCTGGACAGTAGTTCGATATGGCGATAATGGCCGCTTGATCATTGCTTGACAAAAATAGAGAATTGATTGAAGTTTTCTGCAGCTCTCAAAGAACTATACCAAACCCAACATCCAATACGGAACCGTGGAAGTCCGTGGCTTGTAAAGGAAACACCCTAAGTTCCATAAAGTTTTGACAAGTTGCAACAACGATTTGAAGGCCCTCATCACACACAAAATTTAGTACCAGGAAGTTTGAAGATTGTGGCAACGGGTAATGACTGTTTTGACCTGTTCAATTGTGATCAAGAATTGGGAAGCCATAAAGGTCGACTTGAGAGAGGCCCTCAAATCACCTTCTTCTTTGAAAGGAGGAGAACGAGCTGGTGCCAAGGTGAGTGAGCTGCTGCGCCCGGGCCAAGAAGCATAACCGACCCTTCGATACGCTGGTGGTAATGGCGGCTTATACTTCTTCAACCCTTACGCAATTAAAATCATTTCACATCACGAAGTAATGGTGTACCATTCGGTATGATGAACCACACCCCTCCCCCCCCTCTCCCCCCTCTTCAACCTTTGGGTTGGCTGAAAGCTAATTTTGAAGTTGGACCTGCCGTGGTGATTCAGGATGAAATTGGCAAAGTTCTTTCTGCAGGAGGTCTTCAAATGATACATTGGGACAATTCTCAAGTGGAACATGATGTTGTTATCTTCCTTGGCGCTCTCTTAAAGCCTTGGATGTATGAAACCAAAGGTATTATTATTGACGGAGAAAATGATAACATCATCCATCACTTTCGGCGAGTATGGAGGATAGAGATGGATGTCGACAGCTTCGTAATGAACCAACCTTTAGCATTACTTTTTGACTTTAAACAAGTGCTTTTCTTTTTTGCCATAGAAATTGTAACAAAACGACTCATTTTTGTGCCCAGCTCGCTTTGGATAGGTCTTTTGTTTGGGATACTCACATTTGTGACATCGATTTTTTTAGTGTGGTTGAGGATGATGCAAACCAAACTACATCTTTTGTGTAGCTTTTAGAGCTCCATTTTATACATTTTGATTTTATTTTAATGCAAAATGCTCACCCTTCACAGAAGAGATGACCAACAGAGACATGCTCAATGATTCTTAGTCTCTAGAGAGGAGACCGGGCCACAAAAGACTCGAGAGCTTCAAGGTTCACATTACAACCCACACAATCGAATACCAGGGACTCGAGGCAAGTCTTCCCTGATGAAAAGCATAACACCCAATCCACCACCCCCTTATCGTCGTCCTCAACGTCATTGTCTATCAGATCTAGAGATTAAAGACACCAATATCTCTCTGCTATGGCAGCAAGGCCAGCGATGGTGAATCTGTCGCAACAAAAGAGTGATAGGTCCTAGAAAGAAGTTGTTAGGATCACGAGACTGGTGTCAAAAACAATCATTCACTTAAGGTAGACTCTCTCTAGTAAGGGATAAGGTGGAACTATGGCGACAACAGAGCATAGGTTGTTGATGAAGAGCTCGACCTGAGTTTGGGCCTCAGCGCAAAACCAAGACAGGCAAACAAGGGAAGATGTGTTTCGATCGCAATGAGAGGTCAGAAAGCACAACACATTCTCGAGGGCGTTCTCGATAACTTGGTCAGAGAACGGAGGTGGCTAGCCGGCGAGGGTAAAGGCGGGTCGATCCTTTGGTTGAGCATTTCTGAAGGGATTTAAGGACCATTGATTGTCATAATGGTCATTGCAGTGCCATTATCCAAGAGTTATGTAATGTTGTTGTTATCATGTAGATCTATGTTTTGTCGCCCAAAGTAGTTGTGTTGTTTGATGCTTTTTGCAGCGACAAGGAATCCCATAGTTCGCTACTTGTTGTTTGGTACAGGATATGGCTGTGAGTGGTTGTTCTATTGCTTATGAAGTAGCTCTCCCACGGGAACTTCTGCTAGTTGGTCCTACAGCTGGTCTGCATGCTATGAGAGGGAGGTGGGGTGGTTGAGGAGGGCCTGCAGGCTGTCAACTGCATGAATAGGAACTTTCCGGTGGCAGAAGATTTTCTCCTCTGCCGGAAACTTTAGAGTTTGTTTCAAGGCTCTAATACCATGTAAGTTTTGAGAACTAACGGAATACTTTATTGATACGAAAAAGGAGCATAAATACAACTTACATGAATCCTAAAATAGGAAAAGCATGGCCCATATATCTCCAAGATTACAATTAATCAATTCCTAATAACAAACCAGAGATAAAAAAAAACATAAAATAGAAAAAAAAAAGAAAAGAATAAATCAATTACCTAGCACTATACATATACAATACTTCGTCCTCAAACACTATCTAGATAGTTCTTCAGTTTGCCCTTTTTTAATTTTTATCTAGGTGAGACTTCAAAGAATTTTTTTGCTATAAAATCAAAAGTTCTGAAAATAAGTGATGATTATTTGATTTAAAATCATGTTAGAATTGTAGAAGAAACAATCATCTTTAGTGCAAAGAAAAAAATAAAAGTTACACCTTTTGACTGTTGCATCCAAATCATGACCGTGCTCCACCGTTATAGTATGTAGAGAATGTCCATCCGCAATGCTAACCAAACTGATTTTAGACCAGACTCCAATCACTATGATGGACAATGTATCTTCATTTTGTATTTACAAATTTTATGTCTATGGAGATTTTAATCTTTCTTCGGTTTATTCATTAGTCATTAAATATATGGTAGCAACCATAAACTTTACAGAGAGATATCATGTACTAGGATGCTTAATGAAGAATTGAAGAATAAATATTTTGCTTTACACCCTCCCTCTCTCTTATAAACCCCTATTCACAACCTCTCCCTCTCCCTCTCCCTCTCTGTCTCTCTCTCTCTCTCTCTCGCATTCCACCCTCCCTCCCTCCCTCTATTATTAGTCTCCTCTAAAGCCTCCTTTTCACTTTTCCATTGCACAATCATCTTATAATCAATTTTCAATCCCAAGTCACAGAGCTAACAAGAAGGTTGTTGAAGAGTCAGGCACACTCTCCAATAAGCACCATATAATTCTAAAAATCCCCACCATACTTTGTTTGATTTTTTAGTGGTTCCAGGTACTTTTTTCAAAATGCAGATTAGATATCAGATAAACACTATCAAAAAACTTCTTCCTAGTATAAGAACTTCATAGTCTGTTTCAAGATTTTTCATAAATGCAAGCCCCTTATAACTAATCCCACTCAATTAAAAAACACACTCAATGTTAGTCTATGTACTATATAATGCCTTAGTTTAATAGCAGCAAATCAAATCAAAGGAAAAAAGGTATATATCTTCATTGGCTTGAAGATGATTATGGATGAAATAATGACAAATCAGATCAAGATTGATAATTCTATTTTTTTACCTTATAAGGATCTTAGTTAACATATTCAATTGAGATATTGAGCCAACAGGGCCGACTGATCCTTGTGAGGAATCATAGGTTGTATCGTCCAATAAAGCTTATAGACCTACGGAGAAAACTTACTTGAAGGGACAATTTTGAGTTGACCTTGGCTAATTAAACGCTTCATTCCGTATTGAATGCATCTTATGGCTCATAGCTCATAAGCATGGACATTAGCAAATATGCAAACTTTAGTTGTAACCATGATCAAGCATGCAACCCGATCATGATTTTTGTGCATCTCCTTGTTGGCATAATATTTTTTGGCATAATTCATGACATCGACTAACTGTAAGTTTTGGTTAAGAGTGAACTTCACATCCTTGGCGAATTGATGTGGATAATTGATGGATGCCTTGGTTTGACTTTTTATTTTTAATAATTTTTGTTTTTACATATATTTTTTGGAGAGAATAAATTTAGACAAGATTCTGGCTAGTTATTATCTTTCATGATTATGTCATCATCGAGAATAATTCAAAATTTAATTTTATTGAAATTAATTAGGCAATCATTTTTATGATGAAGACTATCGAGAATAATTCAAAATTTAATTTTATTGAAATTAGGCAATCATTTTTATGATGAAGACTACATAGATTGTCAAATATGATTATGATATTTGATTAAAAAAAGTGAATAATTGAACTATCATTCAGGCAACAATGTATACAATTTTTTATTTGATTTACGATGAAGTGCATTGATAAATGATTTTATAAGCCATGCTAGTTATAGTTTTTTGATAGCTAAATCAATCATTGAGAAGATGAAGGAGGGTATTTTCTTTATGACAAGAAGCTTTCATATTACAGTTATAATTTTTTTATCACCAAAACCAACATTAGGGTAGGCCTCTCGAATTTGGAGTTAAGAGCTTCTTAAGCTCATATCTTTAGTCCAATCATAAACTTCTTAAACAACTAAAACAATTTTTCTTAGTTAGCATTGTTGAGGCTTTCAAACTTTAGAAGCTTACAAAAACCAACTCAGCCATTGGTCATGTTAACTGGGAGCCTAGCCCACATGTCTGTCTTTTGACTTATTGGCAATGAAGACTTTCAATAGCTTTGAAAAAGCTAACCATCTTTATCCCACACACCCATATACTAATGAACTGGATATTCTTTCACTTCTTCAACTTAAATTGCTAAGACATGGTGAGTTTTAAAGTTTCTGCTTCACCTTCAAAGCTTTCTGACCAATCAAAGAGATTGGCCCTCAAGGGCTTTGTATTTCAAGCATTTGATATTTTTGTGAACTATGACCGCAACATTTTGAGGAATTGTAAGAAAATGAAATAAAGATGTTTTTAAAACAAAAAAGATATGCACTTGTTTAATTTTGATGTAATAATTGAGAAGAATGAAATGTTCCAAAATTTGTCAGACTTTTATTAGAGTTTGAAATGTTATGAAATTTGAAAGAAAGATATTAAAATAAAGGTATTGCAATTTAAACAAAAAAATTATAAATACTGTTAAATACTCTATAAATGATGTCGAAAATAACTACATATGCAAATAAAAGTTAATGAAAAGTCAAAAAGAATTAAGCATATCGCTAACAGATGAGACTCACCAAAAGCATAACCAAATGATATCCAGAAAAAATAACCATTAAGCACGCCTTTCTTGTTTTCTTTATCAAATCTGTACAAACAGAATATGTTAACATTTGAAGGAAGCCATTGAAAAGATAATTCAAAAACTTAAACTAATATACATCTCGAAAACTTTCACAAGAAAACAGTAAAGGTGACCAAAAATATGATCACAGTACAAAAAAAAAAAAACTAATGAATTCAGCATCATTGTCATCTCAGTCGTTGGATTAACACCCTAATAAATCATAAACTATAAATCTGACATCGTAAAAGGTTAAATCTACGTATTTAGTTAAATACCAGACAAATAAGTTGAGCTATACAATGATTGCCGCTTTGATGTAATTGGTTCATCTGGCTATAGTAATTTAACCACCTAGAGGAAAACCGACAAGCAACACATATATGGCATTGAGCACGCAAATAAAAAACATTGATCAATTACAGTCACCATTAAGTCCATTGCAAGGTATTGAAATTTACAACAGATCTAGAATTGGAAAAAATAAGAGCTTCAAGGTTTAATGGTTCAATCGAATATTGAATCAAATGATATAATAAATATTAAATATATTTTAATATGATTTAAATGATTAATAATAATACTTTCATTAATTTAATATAAAATATTCTAATTTAGAATACTTCACTCTTGAATATTTTGAATATAATTTTAAATCAAAATTAGTGACACGATATTTTAATTACAGAACCAAACTACCCGGTCAAAGGACTATGGTTGTAACCACTATATTGTGGAGTCACTAGGCCAAATGACTCGGACAGAAAATTCGAGTCGCGTTCTTACTTGAGCAGATTATTTTGAAAGTGAATATAATAATATGTTTGATATGACTCTATGTGAGCTGACTACACCGGTGGTCGTCGGTGGTGCTGGACTTCAACTTATTTTCAAAGCCACAAATTATCTCTCAAGGCTCAAGAACCCCTTTATGCGAGGGGTGGAGCTCTAATTGGTGTTCTGGGTGCACTTAATGCAGAAATATGAACCATTTTGATCGGATGGTCTAAAAGCTTCTTTCAATCAGACGACGTTTAATGGATATTTGGAGGCTTTAATGATGTCAGAATTGAGTGATCTTAGGCTCGTTAGATTCGTCTTGTCAAGACGCTTGATTCAATTATGAACTTGTAGATTCAACATCCGTTTGACCTTCCAAATGTGTCTGGAAATCCTCCAAATGTAGTTTAATGACTTGATTCGGGCTTGATTTGACTAAAATTGGACTAACTTTAATATCATTAGGCGCACCCTTGAGTATCTTGAAGAACGACAAATACTTATCTCCAGAACGAGCCAAGAAGCGTGATAGAGCAGCTATATGGCCATTCAACCATTATACCTCCTTGATGTTCCTTAGAGACATAATGTCTCTTAGCTCCTTGATTTTTTCTAGATTTGCCTCAATTCCTCGATGAATAACCATGAATCCTAGAAACATCCCCGATGCGACTCCGAAAATGCATTTAGTCGGGTTAAGCCAACAAGCCATACTGACCAAGGAATTGAAAACTCCTCCTGGTGAGAAATGTGATGAGACGCTTCCAAGTTTTTCACTAACATGTCATCAACGTAAGTCTTCATCTTATATCCCAGAAGGTATTTGAAGACCTTGTTCATGAGACGTTGATAAGTTGCACCAGTATTTTTTAACTCGAATGGCATAACTTAGTAATAACAGAAACTCTTACCTGTTTGAAAAGATGTGACTTCCTCGTCTATTGAGTTCATAAAGTTGAGCATCTAATGTCCGAAAGTGGCATCGACGAGTTGATCTATGGGTGGGAGGGGAAAGCTATCCTTCGAACAAGCTGCTTTGTTGAGGTCTATTGTTGAGGTCTATATAGTCGACACACATTCTCCATAAACCATTAGTTTTTTTCATTATAACCACATTGGCCAGCCATGCAGGGTGGTGCACTTCCCGTATGAACTTTGCTTCGAGAAGCTTGTTGACTTCTTGTTTGATATCTTGTAAGTGATCTGAGAAAAATTTGCACTTCTTATGGATGTCCGGTTTAAAGGTTGGATCTGCCTTTAAAGAGTGCATGATTATTTCAGGGCGGCAGAAATCCATGCAAAAATGTCTTGGTTTCTTTAGAAAATATTTACATATTCTGACTTCTGTTCATCGGAGAGTAAGAAGCCAAGCTACATTATTCTCAATAGGTGTTCATTAGAGAGCGGGATGTGGACCAAGTCCTCCACGGGGGAAGCTTGTTGAGATACATCTTCATCTCGAAGATCAAAGTTCTCAATGCTAAGTATCACTGAAGGGCGTGGTTGAGCTTGCCTGAGGTAGCATGATTATGCTATCTGTTGACCTCCTCGTATGACGTCGATCCCTATTGGGATTGGAAACTTAAGCTTCAGGTGTAGCAAAGAATTTAAGATGCTAAAATGGATTACAGGGGTCTCCCGAAGATGGTATTGTATGTTGATTCTGACTTAACAACGATGAACTAGACTGAGCAAGTTATCTGTCGTGGAAAATCTCCAATGACAACAGGGAGATTTATTGTTCCCTCCACCCTTACTGATCGATTATCAAAACCATATAATGGTCCGAAAGTAAGTTGAAGTCTTTCCCTTGTTAGTCTCAAACTAAGGAAAGTGGAGTAGAACAAAACATCAACAGAGCTCCCATTGTCGATCAAGATCTTCTTACGTTGTAGCAAGGTTCGCCAATTCTTGCTAATGATGAGAGGTGTCTTGGTGGGGTACTCGAACTCCTTCTAAATCAGAATCATCAAAGTGATACGCTCAAGGAGCAATTTTTTCTACACTGGTTCAACAGGTGTAGTGATAAGAACTTGATCAGTCAGCAACGGGCCTCCAATAATTGTCTGAATTTTGCCCACGACTGGGTGACCCCCATGTTGTTGTCTTTTGTATGTTTCCCACAATAGGATCATTATCGGTGACAACTAGTTTATTTTGTACAAATTGACCAAGATATCCCTGTTGAATCAACCTTTCAATCTCTTCCTTGAGTTGCCTACATGCCTTAGTGGTGTGGCCATGACATCGATGAAAATGACAGTATTGTTTTTTATTCCTCCAACTATGTTTTAAAGGGTGAGGCTACTTAACAGCTTGCTAAACTTTGATGTTCATCAAGATGTTAACACGCAACGTGTTGAACGGTGTATACTTTTTCTTGGGTCGATACTCATTTTATTGGATCGTAGATTTGGGAAGGACATGATTCCTTTATTTTTTAGACTTACTTCATTGCAAAGATTGATTATTGTTTCTAACATTACTCGTGTTTTTTCCCAAATTTCTGGAACTGCTCCTTACGTGAGCTAATGGCTTCGTCCGCAATAATTTGGGCCTCAACACGGTGGACAATGTCAGTATAAGAACGAACTGTCTCCCGCATTAGTGATTAGTAAAAAGGTCCTTAGCGAAGCCCTACAAGGAAGACACCCCTTAGTAACTCTGAATCCACTCCCGGATTTTGATGGGCTTAAGTAGAAAAGCTGCGGAAGTAGTCCTTGAGCGACTCTCCTTCACTTTGGCGAATTCCCGAGAGATGAGATGAATCCTTGACGATTCGTCAATTTGTGATGGACTGCTCCGCGAACATTCTAGCCAGCTCGTTAAAGGTGTTTATAGTGCCCCTTGACAGAGTAAAATCAGTTTCGAGTTTGTTCTTTGAATGTAGTCGGGAACACTTGACACAAAAGCACATCAGATGCACACTGAATGTGCATGATGATTCGATAATGAGCAATATGTTTATAGGGGTCGATTATCCCTTCATGTGTGTTAATATTCGGAAGCTTGAAGCATGTTGGGATGGAGTGTTGGAGGATCGCGTTTGCTAAGGGAGATGATTCATGGATGTTATGGTGAGTTTAGAAATAATCCTTTTTCTCTAGAGTGAACTCTTCTTGGATGAGACTTCGTAGTTCATTACGAATGACATCATCTGGAAGAGCAGCAAGACGTGGCGATACTAGGCGAGCTGCATGAAATGGCTGAGTGGAATCAACGGTGTCTAGGAGTTTAGCATCATGACCTGACAGGGGAAGTTTTCCCTCTTGAGAAGGGAGAGTCTTTCCGAGCAGTATATTTCTTGTAGGTCACAGATTTATTGGTAAACGAATTTCGTTCATCGATGTGGACAGCGGATGTTGGGTCCCACGTAGGAGCTATAGAATCTCCGGTTGAGACTCCTCTATTCTGGGCATTCGGTCTTCCATAGAAGGACCCGAAATGCCATCATTGGCGGGATAACATCTTCCAGGGCGGGAAGATGAAACATGTCGCCCTTAGCTTCGTGACTGCTCCCTGGAACGATGGGTGTTGGAGCGAGCTGCTCCGTTATTCTGAATATTGTATCTAATGACCATGTTAAAAACCGAGCAAGTACTTCAGTGGAAGGATTGAGAACTTCCCACAGATAGCCAAACTAATGTGTGTTAGAAAATTTGCGACAGTAGAATAATGAATTATTGTCTTAACATTGCACGAGAATTCAACACACACACACATAAAGAAAGAACAATCAGTGATGACACCAAATGTTTTTATGTGAAAAACTCGTAAAGGGAAAAATCACAGGGTCTGATCTAGTTGTAAAGATTCACTATTGATTCATGATTACAGAAATCTCCTATCCCACAAAAGAGTTATTAGATTTCCCAAATTATAAATTTAACTTACAAAGTCTGATTAGTGGTACCCAACAATGATCGGTGGTTGTCAATGACAGTCGACAGCATTCGACAGGTGTCTGCAAGAGTCAGCGATGGTCAACTGCGGTCAATGGTGGCCGGAGGAGGTCGATGGCGGTATGCGGTGGTCAACGGCGGTCGGCGGGGGGGGG